CCACATTTTCTAACAGGTTTGTATATTGCACCCTCACATCTAAAATTTTATTCGAGTAGTTTCTGCGTTAGAAACCTTTCGATAGGTTTAATTCTAGTTTATCCCTAGTTATGAAATTTAAATTTTTTAAAACGATATAGATCAAATAGTTAAATAAATATTTAAAAATTTTAAAAATATGCTGCCTATATAATTAATTACAAGATAGATTAATTTTAGAAATTAAAATTATTTTTTCTTCGTATCTATCCATTTAGAAGTTGAAATGATCTAATTTAAGGATTCTCCAATATGAAAACACTCAATGAGGACTAATTTAGGGGTTCTCCAAATATGAGAACACCCAATGAGGATTTTTGAGGTGTACCTCACTTTCCAAAAGTTATGTAAGGCTGCAAAACGCAAAGTCAAAAGATACATGATATTTTTCCTCATTATAAGCGACATTTTCCTTTTCCAAGCCAAAAGATATGATGCCAAAGGTTAGTGGTCTTAAAGAATATATATTGTTTTGTAAACTTCGATATGCGCTATTATTTAAGTGCGAGCCCCACTAGTGCGTGCGTTCGAGCCTGCTGCACGCGCATGCGACTCAGAGCGCGCGCACCCATACCCGCATTCGCAAAAGTCGTGCAATGTCTCCATTGGGACGAAGAGACCAACTCAGGACTCTTAAATTTATAATTATATTGGGATGCGGTTTTGGTGAGTCAGCTGACTAACCTATTACCTTACCGTGTACATAATGTCATGTCCATCAATGTTAAAATAGACTGCGAGTAAAAATAATAAATAATATTTATTATTTTTTTTTAAAAATGAACTTGGATTACGGTTGAGATTATCGAATCTTAAAATTTTAAATTTTAAATATATCGTTGAGATTAGTATCGAAAAAATTGAATCAGAACAGTTAACCGAACATGGGCTAGAAGCGGTTACTTTGTACTAATCGATAAATTGACCGGTTCAACCGACGTAACCGGGCAAGTCTCGAGCAGTCAAAAAAGTGTTAGAAAATAAAAAATACAATTTTTTTGATAAAAATATATTTAAAAGTATGATTAAACATATCACATCCAAATGAAGTAGAAAATTAATGAAAAAATAAATGTTTAATAATCGATTTGTGCCTAGTGGTATTTAAAAAAAAATTAATAATATGAGAAAATATAAATATAAATATTAATGGCCAAAACAACTTCCAATATTTGCCAAAATAATGAAAACATAAAAAACTACATTAAAAACACAATCGTTTGTTTTTTGGAATTTTATATAAATTGTTTTGAATTTTTTTAAAAAAATACCCTGTAGGTTCACCAAAAGCGGAATTGACCAAGGACGGGTTCCAATCTAACCGAGTGGTTAGAATTTGAGTCACCCAATTTTTCCTACACTGGTTGAGATATATTTTGTTGGAGACCGTACATGAATAGTGTCAATCGATCGACTTACAAAAAAAATTTCCTTTATATTATTAATTACTTTGGATGTAGTTTTTACATGGCCAAATAACCTTAGGCATTGAAAATCCCCATTATGGCCCTAAAATCAATTTAAAATACCGACTTTAAAATTTGAAGCTAAAAAAATGGTTCAGGCTTTCATATTGGCTGAAGCTTGTGTTTAGAGTGAAATAGTTGGTCTACATAATGTGTCACAATAAAACACTATTTCTAAGGCTTGAAATCCTAATTTTTTTTACAACGACAGTGGTTGAGGGTGAGATGATTGATGTGAAAGTTATTTGGCACCAAAAAACTACAATTTTTTATGTTGTTTAGGGTGAGGCTCTACTTATTTTAATAGAGCAGCAACTCTATCAAAATATTTTCTATTTACTATTTCTATTTGGAAAACTTTTCCATATGCTAGGGGATGCATTTCTACATTTGCGCTCCCAGAGGTATTAAGCGTCCATCTAAAAACAATTGAATCAAACAATCCGAATGTTTTATTCATAACATTATTATTTAATTTTTTAAAAAATTATTTATTTATTGTTATTCATAGTCTCCATATTAGAGATTCTACGTCATTAAAAATTGGGTGCGGTTTGTATAAGCCCGAGGCTCTAAACAATAAAAGTAAAATGTATCTTCTAGTGTCGAAAAATGTGGTTTCAATATTGAAAAGCCTTAAATTATATTTCACCTATAATTGTAAAATTTAAAGCTTCAAAAATAGTGTAAATTAAGTAGATCTATAAAAACTTGAATATCTTAAAAATTGATGGTCAAAAAATGAATTACAAGGTATAATATTTTCAAAACTTGAAATCCCTTTTTTATCATATCTATGCATTTTGAGGTCACGATAATCAATTTGATAACATTTGGGCATAAAAAACAACTTTTCTAATGAAATTTTTGAGATGCATCTTAATTAGTTCGCTTAGAGTTTCGTAATTGAGTCCCAAAATCCATCTCAAAAATAAAATTTGAATAGAGGACTCATTTTGACATGGACTCGATGTCCTTTTTGCCAAGCGTTTAGATCCGCTTGGATCGCAGTAGCCGGTCCAAAATCTAAGTAATTGTGTACGGCCTCATGGACTTTTGTACGTTGAGGGAGCCGTTGCGGAACTTTGTATGGCAGCGGGTGAAAGATGCTTTCTCCAAACTCTTCGAGAATACGCCTCCCACGTCTCACTTATCGCCGCCACTCATTTGCGGTACCAATTTATGTATCAATCTAGTCAAAAGATCAAATGCCAACTGTACCATTGGACATGCTCCTATTAGGGCTGACGTCGTGTGGGGTTAGACAGAGGAGAGAGAGTGAGGTTGGTGAAGACCAGAGGCCCATTAGTGCTTTTCAACCCAACTTTATTAAAAAAAAAATTTATCTAATAAATCAAAGCCCCACATTTTACTGATTCTGGTTTAGCTTTAGCTTAACCCCTCACGGTCTTTCTCTCTCTAATCTCTTCTATCCCTTTCTCTTTTTATACAAAATAAGTATGGAGTGGCCACCGAACCAACCCCAACCAGGTCCCTTGAATTCTCTTTTTTGTGGATTAAAATGCGGGCTAAAAGAACCACCAAACACAATTCCAAAATTAGTAGATGCGGGCCTAAAAAACTTGGTTCAGAACATGATAATGAGAGCAAGAGCAATGAATTTCGACTTCAATAGGAGCATTTCATAGATTACATGATAGTGAGCGCAAGAGCAATGAATTTCGACTTCAATAGGAGCATTTCATAGATTCGGTGCAATATGTTGACGGTGAATGGAGATGTCAAAGAGAGGAGAGAGATAGAGATGAGAGAGAAAAATAACATGGTGGGTGGCTCCATCACGGGTTTTGCTCATAGAATGTAGCCATGGATGAAGGGAACAAGGAGGGTAGAGAAAAGAGAGAGAAAGAGTTGAGAGAAGAGATAAAAGCACACGTTGGGTAATTCTATCGAGAACAGAGAGAATGGGGCTATCAACCACATATAACGAAAATTAAATTTAAAAAACTTAAGGAGTTGTTCAGTATTTCGAACACCAGACATCTTTTTTTCATTTAAACACAAAAAACCTTAGACTGGCATAACTTTGAAAGAAAAACAAAAAGGCTGTGGAGGGAAGGGGGCACCGCCTGTAATTTAAGAACGACATGTTCTCATTTTGTAATTGGTCCCCCGAATGAGACCTGCACCTAATTTTCTCATTTTAAAAAATTGCGCCTTTATAATTGAAAGAAAAATATTTTTTGCATCATAAGCCGTTCCACGATTGCATCCTCCCATGCATCACTTGCGTAGGATAAAATTGTGACCCTACAAAAAATAAAACTAAATAGCATTAAAAATATGTCAAAAAAACTCTTTTTAGATCTCTAATTTTTATTTTTATTTTTATTTTGCCATGAAACATTATTGATTTGAAAATTTTGGAGCCATAATTCATCTCTAGGTTGGATCCTCATCGGAATAGATGAGGAAGCGAATTCACCACAATCTTGCACATCTAATCAATGGGGACCAAAAAAAAAAAAAACCAAAAAAGAACCCTATAAAATTTGCCAAAATTGCCACCAGCAAATATGTTACTCATTATAATTATTTCTCAATTTTTATGTATTTTTTCCTGGTTTGTTAACAAGACCTAAAAGGTGAATTTTAAAAGATACCGTTTCTATAAAGCTTAAGCTTTATCAAAATAACGTAAAGCCTTGTCTCAAATCCTCATTCAGTAAGCGCTTTAGTCATTGAAAATCTTCATGATTGATCTAAAATCAATTTTTAAATATGAATTATAAATTTTAAAACTCAAAAAATAATATAAATCTTGTAGTTTTGCGAACACATATTTTTAAAATGAAATAGATGATCTTGATAATACATTATCAATTTTTTTCATAACCCCAACACTAAGGCCCAAAACTACAATTTTTAGATGAGTTTGGGTGAAGCTTTGCTTTTTTTATGACGCCCTTGTCAAAATATTTTTCAAATTTAAAATTAAATATACCTCTTAATTTAAAATTAGGTGCGGTTTGTATGGAGCCGATACTTTAAACAATCAAAATAAAACATACCTTCAAGTAGTATCGAAAAATGTGATTTCAACTTGAAAATATATTTTTTATTATAAAATTTCAAGTTTTAAAAAAATGTGGACCAAGTATATCTATAAAACTTGAAAATCTAAAATATTGACGATCTAAAAATATATAATATTTTTAAAATTTAAAATCTATTTTTTTTCTTAATGTATCTCGATGTCAAGATGATCAATTTCAGATTTTGGAGCAGCAAAAACAACTTCGTGAGAAAATATTTTAGGTGGGCTTTAATCTGATTGTTTAGAGCGTCGGCTCTATATGATCTTTTTCCTCAAAATGTGCGTCTCATACGCGGCAGTGACCGAGAAGAACGCGGTTTTGTCGGACCGACGAACGGTCTTATCGCTTCACTTTTGTCTAACTTACAAAACCATGGGCGGTATAAAGGGGTTTTAAGAAAACCGCTCTTTTCTGTGAAAACCCCTATAAAATGCCCCATAGGCACCTCAGGTAATCACACTGTGCGAAGGGGGCTCTTGCAGGCGGAGGACATGGTGGAATGGTGAAGAGGCGGTATGGTAGCCGTTGGTGTATGGCTGGGCAGAATTTGGAAACCCTAGTTTTGGTTTTTACGGGAAACCAGGATTAGGAAACTCTAATTTTGGCTCTTACCGGAAATCCAGTATTAGGAGAACCTAATTTGGGTGTCTTACAGGAAACCATGGTTTCCGATCCCGCCCATGCCGTGTACCCATGGCTTCTATCCCCTTTTCATAACCCACTTAAGTTTCCCGATCCCGCCCTTGCCGTTTACGCACGGCTTCTCTCCCCTCTTCATGGTCCACTCCAGCTCTAATCTAGGATTTAGGGTTTCTGAGGTTTTTTCTAGGATTTCTTTTCAGGATCCACGCCAGCTCTCTTCTAGGATTTAGGGTTCATAATCCACTTGGGTTTCCCGATTCCGCCCATGCCATTTATTCACGGCTTCTATCCCCTCTTCATGATCCACCGCTGCTCTTAGGTTGTTTTGTGATGATTTGGGTTTTCTGGGTGGTTTTAGGTTTATATGCTGGATAGGTGGATTTTAGATTTTGAGAATTCTTCATTGATCTTTCAAGGCTTTTAAGGGTTATATTGGCTGTTTTACTGTTTCTGGGCATTTGATGGGTATGGGTTGTATGGTGGATATTAGGATTTATGTGCGAAGGTGTTTCTGAGGGTTTTTTTCATAATCTGCTTGGTTTCCGATTCCCCCCATGCCATATACTTGCGGCTTCTATCCTCTCTTCATGATCCACCGCAGCTGTGATCTACTATTCGCCCTTTCTCAGTTTCCCTGATTTGGGGTAATTGAGAGTTTTAGTTTTGGGGTTCAGAATTAGTCTTCTATTTTATTTTTTTTTCTTTATTTTTTTGTTTGCCATTTATATGGATCGTGGATGAGTTTTTACTTACTCATGGGGTGCCCCGTTCCTCATCTGGATTAACTTACCACTTGCTGCACAGTCAATGGTAATGACTAATTACTGAAACATTTATTGTTTGCAAAATTTTAAAGCCAAGTATAGTTTCTTAGGTATTCTGGTTTTCATATCTTAACCTTACATGGCATATATGGTTTGTGTGATATGGTTTTGTTGCATATTGGATGTTTATGGAATTGATTGCAGGATTCCCTGTTACACATTTATTGAATTTGAAAATTTGTTATACAAAGAGTATGAAGACGAAGCTCAATTTGCAGTTGCTTATGAAGATGAAGCTCAATTTGCAGTTGCTGGATATAGGTTTTGGGCCCTCTTGGGCTATTATCTCTCTTTGCCTTTTTTATGTTTCTCCATTTTCTATCCTGTTTTCGTTTATTCACTAGCGTTTGTTACTGCACTCTCTTTCTCTCATTGTAACTCTTTCATTTGTAGTCTGAGCACCAAACCTGGGGGACCTGCTTTTTTTGTGTAATGTGATGTAATATATTATTTGATTCATATGTTTTCCTCGAAAATAAAAGTTGAGCTCATTTACTTCAATTGAAAATTCTTTGAATAAAGCTAATGAAGTTGAAAAAGATTTAAATTTCATTAACTATACTTTCAATGGTGGTTTTGATGAGTGGATTTCTTCCCATTATTGGACTGGTTCATCGAAATCAAGTGCAAATTTGTCGTCTCTATTCCTATCTTATGAGAAATTGATAATTTTGTTATAGAACTGTTCATTCTGGTGTTTAAAATCGTCGAGTTGACCCGGGTGACTTGAGATCGCTACAAAATGTGCCGAATTGGCGCAAAAATCGGGACTTGCCCGTGTCCAGAGAGAATTGGGCAATTCCCAATAGTAGACTCGAGATTTTGTTCGAGTCCCAATAGTAGAATAGCGAGTCACCCAGAAAAACATGGGTGAATAATGTTTTTATGGGGATTTTGATTTTGTCTTTTTTTTAATCAATTTTTAATGTTTTTCAGCTTTGTGAACGAATATTGCAGGTTTTAATTCAAATCTTAAATCATTTTCACTCAATAAAAGGAATTAAAAACTATTGTTTTTTATCGACAAATTTGATTTGCGGAGGGAGTTTTAGGGTTTTTGTCATTTTTATGATTTCAATCGAAATAAAAGTTTATTTTTTAGACAATTTCAAGTTGAGTGATTATAGTAGTGTTGGTCAGAATTTTGTTCATAATTTATGATTATTTTAAAAAAATACATATCAATTTTGAGTTATAAGGCACATATGTTCGAAGAACATATAAAAATTCAATTTTTTTTTCCATATAATTAATTTCAATCAATATTTTACAAATCATATACTAAATTTATAGGGTTTTGATATTTTTTAGTGTTGTTTATTATTAGATATATTCAATTTAATTATATTTATCCAATTTAAGTTGGATTTTATAGTAAATAAGAGTGATGTTTGTTGAAAAAAAAAAGTGGATTGTGTTCTTTTTATATTCTTGTCATTTTTATAATTTCACAATTTTAATAAATATTTATAAAAAATATGTTAAATTTATAGGGTTTTAGATTCGCTATAGTGTTATTATCATTTCATGTATTCAATTTATTTGATTTATTCAATTTGAAATTGATCTTTGAGATCGAATGATTGATGTTTGTGAGAAGTTAGATATTTTTTTTTATTCATCATTAATCTTTTTGAGAAAGTGTGATTTATCGAAAATTGTTTTTGATTATCATGAGGAATTAAATAATGTTCTTAAATTTTGTTGTTAAATTTTTATTTCAAAATATTGTATGTTGATAGATTATTTACGTAAAAAAAATATATGTTATGATATTGTTAATGTAAAATTGTATTTTTTTATTTGTTAATGCAAAAAAATATATTAACAAATACATATTGTTAAATTGTATTATATTATTAATATAAGTTTGCATTAAAAATGGATTTTGAATTTTTAAAATTTTTAATACAAAAAACATATGTTAAATTGTATTATCATGAAGTATTAAAATGAATATCATTGTAAAAAAATCGTGGCATGTTATATTTTTAATGTGAAATTATATTTTTTAATTTATTGTTAATGTAAAAAAATATATTAACAAATATATGTCGTTAAATTGCTTTGCGATTGATTATTTAGCTGTGGATTTTTGGGAATATGAATGCGTATGAACGAGAGTTTTTACTTGTAAAGAGCGGTTAAATAATTGTCTTTCGAATTGGTATAAAAGTGGATGGTATAGTTTCAAATAAGAGATTTTGGTCTCGATGTTTCAGTATTGTAGAGGTTATTGTTTTTTTGGACACGGTGTTATAAATAGTGAATACTGACAAAAAAGTTATCATAGGTATAGTTTGTATAGGTAACGAAGGCGAAATCAGCTATTGGAGAGAAGTGTAGTTTTATTAGCAAATTGATCGTGATTATAGAAAGGAGATGGAAAATTAAATTTGAACGTTCAATTCATTATATTGGTAAATATATATATTTATATTATTAGAATATATTTTTAAAAATTATTTTTTTATGAAATCGTAAATGATATTTTTTAATCTATATATTTTTTAGTTTATTATTTTCATTTAAAATTTTGTTATTTGACATCTGAACATTCTCAAAAGATTACGAAAAAGGTTAGATACATTATTATATGGTTGGAAAGAATCGAAACCAAGTAGTAGCAATACAAAACATATTATTTAATATTTGGGTAAAAATTTTATTGAGATGTTATATTTGTGAGGAATAATGTATTAAAACGAAATATATTTGTTTTATCTCTTTAGGTATAGAAATGTTATAGGATCTTACGGAATTAGATTCCTCGGAAATTCTCGAATTAAGATTGATCTAGGTTATTTTTTCGTTAATATTTTGTTCGTTCATATATTTAATTTTATGAATTGTTTTTGCCGTTGCAATGGTTTTTGCATGTTAATCTAGTTGAATGGTAGGAGATATATGGTTTTGATGCACATTTAAAGAGGATAGTAATTTAAGTGTTTTTTCAGACATGTTCTGTTACTAGCTGTGAGCGCAATTGGAGTATGTTTCAATGGTTGTACACTATTAAGATGAATCGATTCATTTCGGAGAAGTTTCATAAATTAGTTTACGTTCATTATAATTTAAACTTTCGAGAGCGATAAATAAGAAGGAAACTTGAAAATTATGAACCGATAGATTTAGACACAATATTTGTCACAAACACAACAGACCAATGGGTAGTAGAAGAGGCGGCAACGTTGCACAAGAGAGTGAAACTGTCAATCAACGTATCTACAATTCGTCGGAGATGCCGGTGATATTATACTTAGTGAGGGAGTGGGAAGGGAGTCTAAAAGAAAATGAGAGAGATGATGATTCTAAAGTCATTCTATCTCAGCCATATTATTTACATATTGAGTCCCAATAGCAACAGTGTAGGGATGAGCACACGACATTGTAGATGAACATGAAAGATAGACAAGCTTCGGGAAATGTCAAACGAATTCAATCAATGGCATCAGCGTCACCAAGAAGAGCAACGATGTTGTCTGTCATTTTATTTTTAGATCGTATGTTATTAATTGTATGCTTTATTATAGTCCATGCATGTTGATATACTTATTCCATAATAATTCTATGTTTATCTTTCTATGTGATGTAAATTAAATAATAAGTAGTAGTTCATGCAATAAAATAACATATTAATATTCGTATATTCATGCAAAAAAATGAAAATTCTTAATGGAGGATCGTCATTTCTTATTAAATTCTTAAAAAATAATATTTATAATGATTTTTAATAATTTTTTTTCGGATTTTTTTGAAGCTTTATTTTGACCAATTCACTCGATTTCCTATTCGAATCGTCGATTCATCGATTTAGATTGATTTTTCAGGTGCCCGATATGGGTCACTTATCCGTTTTTACACCATTGATTCATTTAATGACGGTTTTCTAGTATTTTTTTTATAAAATAAAAAGTTTTTATGAGGTTGCAACAAAATGTAGAATAAAAGATGTACCTAAATAAATTTATAAAAAAAAGTTTTTATGAGGTTGCAACAAAATGTAGAATAAAAGATGTACCTAAATAAATCTCCATTTGAAAATGTTGTTTTAGCTTCAAAAGCTTCGAACGACATATGAGGACTACTTTTTTTCAACAAATCTATCTTCCCATGGGAGTAAGATGCGGATTTACTCCCTCCTTAAAAATACACTTATTTAAACGTGTTTTAGTTTTAAAATTTTGAGATTTGAAAATTTAGTGTTGGGATTTTTATCGGGGGAGTAAATAAATAGCAGGTTTGAGAGAGAAATCTTTCGTGTTGAGTTGGGCTGGGTAATAGTACGGAGCACCTTAAATATTATTTGAAAGCATAGGTTTAAAAGACGGATCGGTGATCCGGATCGGACATTTCAAAAAACGATCAGAATCGACGAATTGACGATTTGGATCGGGAATCGGGCCGAATCGTTCGGATTAAGTTTAAAAAAACTTTAAAAAATTTATTAAAATTCATTATAAATGTTGTTTTTTAGGAATATAATAAGAAATTGGGGTATTATATTATTAATTTTCATTGTTTTTATCGATTTATTAATATTGAGATGTTTTTTTTTGTATGAACTTATATTGACCATTAAATTTACGTCATGTAAAAGAAATCATGAAATTATCATAGATTAAGTATATAATCATATATGGACTACAATAAAAAGTTGACTAAATCGATGAAAAATTGGTTACTAAAATCTTGAATCAACGAAAAACTTTAATCTGTTAAAAAGAAATTATTACAACCTAACTAACTATAATATTATATATCAACAATATTTTATAATTATTTTATTATATAAATAATAACAAATCTAAAATATTTTATAATATTAATTTAAAATGTATTATTGATCACTATAATAAAAATAGTATGTTATATGATTTATAATATAAAAATTAATAAATAAAATAAAAAATTTGATTATAAAAGTAGAAATTATTAGAATACATATCAATTTTTTTTTATTTTTTAGGTTTTTAGAATAAATTAGTGGAAGAGATTGTTAGTAGTACTTAGTAGGAAGAGAGATATTTCAAATGATCTCATTATGAATCCTATCTTTAAATTAAAATTATTAAATTTATGTTAAAGACTATCATGTTATAAAAATAAAAAATATAATCAGACTATTTATTCTTAAATTATATTAAGAAATACTTTTTTTTTTTTTTTATAAGAAATACTTAGTGTTATCTTTTATTTATTTTTCCAAGAAAACTATGATACTTATTATTTTATTTTTCTTTTTTTTGGCAAAAGAAGAAGATGTTGTACTATATACTTTTTTGCTTTTATTACTTTTTTATTTTTTATTTATAAGAAAAATATAAAAAAAAGATGCTGTCAAAGTAAATTTTATTTTTTTATATCTTTTGTTTTATTTTTTTACAAGAAATACTTGTTATATTACTTTGTATGTTTTTTACAAGAAAAATAAAAAAAAATGTAGTATTATTTTTTTTATCTTTATCTTGAAAAGCCATTTATTTTTTATTTTTGCTATTTTTTTATAACAGTATTTCCTACCTTTGTTTATTTTTTTGACAACAAAAATTTTTTTGACTACAAAACTCGAAGAATCGCATGCTAAGGGGTTCGAACTCAAGACCTCTCACTTAAAATCGGAGATGTCGACCAACACCGTCACATAGCTTAATGTGCATATATTAGCTTCTATAATAATATATATTCAATCATCTTGCTTTAATGATTTTTTGTGAGAATTATCCAACATCGAAGGATGAGCATTGCTTTGTTCTCTATATCTTCATATGCAATAGATATTACATTGCGTGTGTAGAAAGTGATGGGGTCATAATGTGACGTGAGTTACCACATTGGTGCCACGTGTTGCTCCCGTGAGGCGGAATCGCCTGGTTATCTTTGGACACGGGCGATTCCCGGTTTTTTTGTGGAACCGGCTCGATTGCAGACGATTTTTGAGTTGAACTGGGCGAGTACGGCTCGACGCGGCGACTTTGCAAACCCTATTTTAAAGTATTACGGTAATACTGTTTTAAAATATTACGATAATACTGTTTTAAAGTATTACGGTAATAGTATTTTAAAGTATTACGGTAATACTGTTTTAATTTTTGAGTTAAGTTCGAGCTTGGGTACCATGCTATTTTTTTTGGCTCTAGATCTGGGTTTGACTACGATGAATTTTGTTCCAGGTCTGACCTGATTGCCACCTCTAGAATTTTGAGTGGCTTGCGGATGGGTAAATTACTGCAGCAAAGAGGCTTGGGACGATTCTTCTTTTTAAATATCCCATCCCTTTAAATAAGGGAAAAGTTTATATAAAGTCGAAGCTCTAAAAGATCAAATTTGAGCCTACCTTAAAAAATTCCACTAGATGAGATTTTGATGCTCAAATGTTTTCAAATTGGATTATCTTGATATCAAGATGCTTGGATGAGATTTTGATGCTCAAATGTTTTCAAATTGGATTATCTTGATATCAAGATGCTTGGACATGAGGAAAGAAATCGATTTCAAGTTTTGGAAGTAGTTTATTTTGTAATGCAGCATTTTTGGACTATCAATTTCAAGATTTTCAAGTTTTCATAGTTATGTCAATCTACACTAACTATAAAAATATATTTTAAGTTATCACTAAGATTTCCAATATTGTAGGTTTTAATTTGATTATTTAGATCTTAGGCTCTACACAAATCACACCCTTTAAATAAATCCTTCCGGGCCCATTAAAAAATTACAGCAAATAATCAGGAATTTGCCGCTGGTGTTGCTATGTAGATGATAATGAAATTAGGGTTTTGTTATTGATCTTGCTCTGTAGAGCCTACTACTGATCGATCAATTTAGGGTTTCTCTTTGAACTCACTGAAACAAAATCCACAGGGATCACAAAAGGAAGGGATTTCTCTAGAGAGAGGAACGGGGATGATCAGGTGCTGCTTTTCGTTCATTAGGGACACATTGTGTGCTCTGTAACTGTTGTTCAGAGGTACGAAGTTATAAGATTCAGGAAACTCATGTATGAAGGTTTTCGCAGGGCAAGGGATTTCGAACAAACAATCAGGAAGCCCAAGAACAGAGATGATGATTAGTCCTTCATAGAATTTCTTTATCTGAAAATTAGCTTAGTCCTTCATAGAATTTCTTTATCTGAAAATTAGCTTCAATTTAGCCCTCTCTCTCATGTTTCACAGAGTATGATTATTTTGTGTAATAATCAAATCATATATAAAGTGGATTTTGATTATTTAGGGTAGTTATTTTACTTGTTTTCAGTTTAAGTCTAAAAGTAGATTACTCTGGGATGGTTGTGATTATGCTTTGAAGGTTGAATTCAATTATAGAGTCGAAGATTAGTAGACTCAGATTATTTTGAATATTTTTGTTCACTTGTAAAGCATCCCAATAAAATCGAAAAAGGCTCTCACGCTGGTGATGATGATGAGGATATTCAATTGTAAAGCAAATTACAAATTTAATCATCTCGATCTCGAGATATATGGATATCAAAAAAAAAAAATACGACTTGAAGTATTGAAAATAGTACATATTGTAATGATTATTTAAATCATCAATTTTAAAGATTTTTAAGTGTATATAGATCTATTTGATCTCATTATTTTTTAAGTTTTAATTTTTATAATTAAAATGCAAAGAAACTTTTAGGTATCATAATGATTTTCAATATTGAAACAACATTCAATACTATTTGAAAGTGTGCTATACTTTGATTGTTTAGAGCCTCGGTCTTATCCAAATCACACCCATTTAACTATATTTCATAAATTGAGACCCAAAATATATTAATGGACCCGGACCCGACCAGCCCCAATTGGTCCAGACCCGACCCGAATAGTGTGTAGGACCAAGATTTGGTCTTGGACTCAATCCATCGGGTCCAATTTTGGAACCCAGATTAGATCTCTCCCTTGGCTCCCGGGTCGGTTCCGGGTCCAAGTAAAAGATTATGGATGAGGTCAACGGGTAGGTGTTGCTTGGTAAAGTTACGTCGTGCTTTGACACTTCACTAACAAATTTCACGAGATTTCTCAAGAGAACAACTTTTACAAGCGTTTCACATAAATCCAACGAGGTGTAAATATCATTTTTTTATAAGAAATTAGCTTTGAAGTAGCTGCTTTGAAGTTTGATATAATTAATAGGAATTGTCTACAAAGAGATCTTTTATCTTATGTTTGAGGAGGTCACGATCATTTTTGTCTTTTAAATTTAAAAATAGGTGGTTGTAGTAAGAATGTCATTGAATAGATACAAAGTTTCAAAAAAATAAAATTATGTGACTTCGTGATTCATTCTAAGCCATCCAATTTGACATCTAATGAGTGAGAATGATTATAATCTTCATGTACAAAAAATAAATGGCCTTTTTATAAACAATCCCTAATTTAACCTGGGGTGTGGTTTTTATAGAGCCTATGTTCTAAACAATCAAATTGGAGCCTACCTTCAAATGGTATCGAGCAATGTGGTTTCAATATTGGAAATCTTTATGAAAGCCTTAAAATATATTTCATCTTTATTTGTAAATTTTAATGCTTCAAAAATTGTGTAGATCGACAAATCTATGAAAACTTGAAAATCTTGAAAATTGACGGTCCAATAATACGTTACAAAGTACACTATTTTCAAAACTTGAAATCTATTTTTTTTCTCATGTACATGCATCTTGACGTCGAGATGACCAATTTAAAGATATTTGGACATCAAAACAACCTCTTCTAGTGAAAGTTTTGAGGTAGGCTCTAACTTGATTGTTTAGAGCCTCGGCTCTATATAAAATTTTCCCATTTAATATTGGGTGGCCACTTGATATTTTTGGTATCCCAGCCCGTAGTTCTAGTTTTTCACCTTTGTACACGCCGCCCATCACATTATGTGTGCTGGCCACAAATATTGCATATAGCAAATTGGGGAATTAAAATATGGGATTGCATACTATTAGACTATTTACATTTGATGTGAGAATGTTAAAATTATTACTAATTATTGGATGTTAAATTAGATGGCTTAGCGTAGGATATAAAGTTTGATAAAAAATTTATTCAAGTTTGGGTTTAGTTAATGACACACTCACAACTACTTGATTTGAAATTTGATGAATAAAAGTGAGGTAGATGGTTTAGGGTATGATATAAAGTTTGAGACATTTTATTTATGTTTGGGTTTGATAATGACACACTCACAACCACATGATTTGAAATCTAACAAACAAAAATGAGTGTGACCTCCTTGGATTATCGACAGACTAAATCATCATAAATAAACCAGTTTTGCTCCAAAAGGCGGAGGCATCTTATCGGGTTAAAAATACATATTGTCAAAAAATAGTTGAGTTAAAAAAGTGTTAATATTTCATATTAGGTTAAAAAAAAATGGAGTGAAAACTTTTGGGTTATGTAAATAAAATTTAACTCGTGAATCTAGAAGTCCCTCATTGATGATGCGTAGCCCCTCATTGTTGACGTGTAGCCCATGTAGCACCTCGTTGTTGAATATGTATGTAGATTTGGAAAGTACTTTAAACATTTTAATATGTGTATAAATGCGTGAGTGGTGTGGTTTGGTGTGTCGCATGTGAAGTGATGCATATATGGAGTGGTGTAAGAAAGTGTGGTGTTAGGGTGAAAAGTGTAAGAGTGAGGAAGAGGTGAGATTACGTGAAGGAAAAAGAAAAGGGAAAAATAGAGAAAGGGACCATTTATTTTTAGGGTGCAGTAGGCATACGGATGCATCCGTAAGTGTAGAGGTAAGGTGCACCTTCAAATTTTATCATGGTGTATAATTTTGATGTAACATGTTCTTAGGATTATATCAAAATTTATTTTTATTTCTAGTTATAAAATTTTAAATTTAAAAAATAGTTAAAATCAAGTAGATCTATAAACATATGAAAATCTTGAAAATGGACGGTGCAGATAATATGTTGTAAAATGTAGAGACTTAAAATCTTTTTATTTTTCATAGTCATACTTCTCGATGTCGAGATAATCAATCAAAAGGTTTTTCAACATTAAATGTACATTTTCCGATGGATTTTTGACGAGCATCTGTAGTTCTACATTATAAGGTAGCATCCTTATATAAACTTTTTCCTTATCTTTAATATAAGAAGGTCATAATCATTTTTAATATAAGGAGGTCGGAATCATTTAAGTATATCAATGGCTAGACTCCATATTCAAAAAAAAAATTATCGAACTTTGTGAGACTCCCCAAACCATCCAATTTGACATCTAATAGTTAGTACTAATTGTGATCTTCTTGTACCAAAAATAAATAATCTCATAATATGCATTCACTAAAGAAAAAGGGTGTAAAAGTGAGGGTATGCAAAGAGAAAGAAAGAGTGGCACGTGAGTGAGAAGGGTTGTAAAAGAGTATGTACTAAATTATTATTTTGTAAAGGGTGCGGTTTGTGTAGAGCCTAGACTCTAATCAATCAAATTTGAACCAACCTTCAAATAGTGTTGAGAAATGTGGTTTCAACATTGAAAATCTTTGTGATAGCCTTAAAATATGTTTTCATATTCATTTATAAATTTTAAAGCTTCAAAAATAGTGTAGAACAACATATCTACAAACACTTGAAAAAGTGTAGATCTACATATCTATGGACACTTGAAAATCTTGAAAATTGACGTTCCAAAAATGCGTTACAAAATACACTATTTCCAAAACTTGAAATCCATTTTTTTCTCATGTCCATGTATCTTGATGTCGAGATGATCAATTTGAAGATATTTGGGCATCAAAACAACCTTTTGTAGTGAAAGTTTTGACGTAGGTTCAAATTTGATTATTTAGAGCCTCGGTTCTATATAAACTTTTCCCTTTTGTAAAAGGCTTGTTTGCAAAAATTCATATTTGGTCTTTTGTGCAATTTTTTGTATTTTCTCATACAATTTCTATTAAACTAGTATTAGAGCTTGAAGGGTAGAACATGACGTTTTCAGACATGATATTCCAACCTCAAGTTCCTTGCCTTACAAAAGAAAATTACGAAAATTGGTGCATTCAAATGAAGGCACTGCTCGGATCCCATGATGCTTGGTAGGTCCTTGAAAAGGGGTATAATGAACCCCAAACCTTAAAAGATGAAGCTGCATTTACAAACAATTAGAAGCATACTCTAAAGGAATCGAGGAGACTAGACTAGCGAGCCATCTTTTTAATCTATTAGGGTATTAACAAAAGCACCTTTGCAAAGGTTGCATCCGCAACCTCCACAAAGCAAGCATCAGAGATCGTACAAAATATCTTTAAAAGAGAAAACAAAGTGAAGAAAGTCTGTTTGTAGACATTATGGGCCGAGTTCGAGATTCTACACATGAAAGAGTCAAAATCAATTTCTGATTGCTTCTTACGGGTGTTGGCCATAGCAAACCAACTCTAGAGGAATGGCGATGAGTTAGAAGAGTTACGTATCATGGAAAAAATATTAAGATCTCGTACCCATAAATTTGAGCATATAGTTGTAGCAATAGAAAAAATTAAAGATATGTCAATTATGAGTACCGATCAACTCTTGGGTTACTTGCAAGCCCCATGAACAAAGAATGATGAAAAAAACAAATATTCCTTTAGAGCACGTGCTCCAAATCAATCTCACCATAAAAAATGGAAGAGGAGGATTTAGAGGAGGTCAAAGAGGAGGTGGTACATTCAATAGAGGTGGATGAGGTTTTGGCAATTTCAATTTCAGCACCGGAAGAGGAAGCAGTCAGATGTTGCAATCCTCAAGAGGTTGGGGTTGGAGAAACTTTACTCGACCATTCAATCATCAAAGGTATGATAGATCTTCGATTCAATGTTTGAATTGCAAAAAAATTGGCCATTATAATTCTGATTGGAGATTTAAGAATTCACACAAAACCATAGAACAAGTGAATTTTATAGAAAAATTTAGAGAAGATTAAGATCCTACCTTCTTGTTGGTTTGCAAAGGAGAAAGTGAAAATAGTAACATTAGTTTCTTTATAGTGGGGTAAGCAACCACATATGCGAAAGAAAATATATGTTTGTGGACATGGATGAATCGGTCAATGCTAATGTAAAATTTGGTGATTTCTCAAAATTTTCGGTCGAAAGGAAACGTAAATTTTTAATTTGATTAAAGAACGAAAAGCATGAATTTATTTTTAATGTCTATTCTGTGCCAAACATAAAAAATAATACTCTTAGTTTAGGGCAGCTCCTTTAAACAGGTTATGATATCCATTTAAAGGATTTAGCCCTCTCGGTAAAAGATTAAAATGAAAACTTGATTGCTAGAGTTAGCACGTAAAAAATTAGAATGTTTTATTTGGATATCAAAACCGATCTTCTGCAATGTCTAAAAGTATGTTCAAAGAAAAAG